CCTTTGCAGGCATCCCCAACCTCTCACACAATAGCATAAAGCCTATAATAAACTTTATGCTGTTGGGAGTCAACTGCGAGAGGGCCAGCTCGTACTCTGTCAGGACATCAAAAATTAGTCCGAGCAGAGGAACACGTAAACCGGTGTCAAAATGGTCTACGTACACTGGCACCCAGCCCGTCCTCAACACTAAACACGCCTTTTCGTTTGGTGTTCTAGCTCGAATCAAAATGGTCTTGGGGATCTGGTATCTCCTCACCATCTCCTCTAACTTCTTGTACTCCTTCATTGTGGCCACACCATCTGCAACTTCGTGATGCAGTGCTGCCCTGAACTTAAAGCCGGCCGATAGGGTTTTGGGGGCCTTGCAAAGGTTGCCCCGTCTTCCGCTAAGAACCTTGCTCTCCCACCCTTCAAACAGAACCACATCTGTTTCTGTACTCATCACCGGCACACTGCACCCAACCTCTTCAACACCCTCCGCTTCACTGGGTGTCTCCTCCATGGGCGAATCGCTAGACGTTGAAGGCCAGTGGTCATCAGAACCACCACCCGCGCTCGAACTAGTGCTACTCTTCGGCGTGGCGATTGTTGGTGAGTCTTGCAACTTCGACGGCACTATCATGGCGATAGGCTCCACGAATATCACATCTACTTCCTCTTCATCACCTTGGTTACCCGGGAACTCTCGTGTACCGTGAAAGGAAGCCATTTTTACCTGAGTAGTTGAAGTCGGATGTCCTCTTGCTGGAAGTTCTGAGAAATGGTTTGGAACGCCTTTGCAAACTTTGCTAACGAAAATGCTGAGTACTGTGTAATGGAACAAAGAATGACTGAGTGATTGTTTTTGTTTTTTGCCCTTCAGATAGTGCTCCGTGAATGCCGTACGCGTGTTTATGGCCCCCCAGTTAACTGTGTCCACGTGGTAATCATTTATGGTTAAGCGCCTAAATTTAGCCGTCTGCAGCTGTCACGTCCCCTCAAATGCTGAGGAAACACCCTCGGAATTTTCAGGTGTAGAAGTAGCTAAAGACTTTAACAGTGTTGGATCGTGAAACTGCCCAAACAATATGTAAATTAGAAAATTAAGTATAATGATATAAAATGTGAGGAGAGACGTTGAGAGATAGAACCTCAACAAAAATTAATAAGAGGTGGACTAAAACTAAATGAAAAGTCAAGTATTAAGAGAATAAAACTAATAAATCGTGCCTTTTATGTTTCGATTTGAAAACAATTCTAACATATATAGAGGGAGAGAGAAGAAGACAAATGGGTTAAGAAAAGGTGATATAATGATAGAAAGATACATAAGTGGTAAATGATTGGAAAAGAACGATAGATAGGAGAGGATAAGGAATAAAAAAATAATAATAAATAAATTATTAATATAAAGAGAGATTTACAAAGATACACACGAACACATAAAGATAATCTGAAAGAGTGAAGGTGAAGTGAATGCATAAAAATAATGAATGTAAAATAATCAAAGTAGTCAATACTGTATTGGTATGCGTATTGATTTTG